CGAGGGGCTTTCCCTATGCGGTCGGCCGGGGGTTCCTGAGCTTGGACGGCCCCTAGGGGTTCATTGCTAGTCGCAGACCGCGACGAGCGGCGGTAATCCCCTCCTACGCCGTTAGCGTTTTGCGATTCATCGTCCTTAATCTCCTCAACTGGTAACGCGGCGAAAAAGTTGGTATATTGGTCGTAGGGAGTACCTACACATACAGTTTGAGCTTTACTACAAGTACATGAGCGCGCACCAGATGAAATTAAGTCCTTTGCCGACGCCGTCGAATCGCTTATTTCGACGCCGGCTTGTCTTTTGACGACTCTTTCTCCTCTTTCACCTCCTCGACTTTCGTGTCTTTTCCTAGGTCTTCCTTCTCGGCCTCTGCGAGTAACTGGCGTAAACGTTGAGCGGGGATCTTTTTGCGAGGTGGGAGTTTGACGGGGAGCCACTTGGACTTGTCGTCAGGGCATTTGTGCTTGGGGTTCCACCCCGTGTTCCCACACTTGAAGCACCGCTTATCGGACCGCAGCTTGTCGATCTCCATTGGCTGCCCTGCCCCACCGTACGTGGTTCCCGTGGCGTCCTTCTTATCGCCACCGGATCCCTTCGATTGATTGCCTCGACCCGAACCGCTCTGGTTCGAGGAGGACTTACTGCCCAGTCCTTGGGCTACTCCATATCTGTAGTTGGCGTCGATCCTCAAGACTCGCGCCTTCCATTGTGCGTAGGTTGTGGGGCGCTCGTTGTCCCCATGCATAACCGTGTTTCGCACCGTCGTTCTTATCGCCGCTTCTACCGCTTCGAACATCTGCTTCTCGTCGCCGAATTCTTCGCACTTGTGGGCCAGTCGTTCGAACTTCGCGAAGAACTCGACTGCGGATTTGAAATCCGCTTGCCGGATCTTCTTCCATTCGGATTTCCAAATGGTTAGTTCCGCTACCTCACGGAACTCGCGCCGAAGGTCCTCGGAGAATTCCGCCCACGTGGGGAACCTCCAGTGACCCTGCGGGTCCCGGTATCGGTAGTACTGGTCTACCCACCACTGCTGCGCGTCCCCACGGAGATACCCTTGTGCGAACGTGATACGATAGGGGTTGTGCCCCTGATCGTTCATGGAGTAATACATGGGGAACACCGCGAAGTAAACCTCGCAGTGGTGTAGGAAGCGCGTGATGTCCGAAGAGACCCCGGTGAAATACTCCGGCTGGGTCACCAGCTTGGGCTTAACGTCATTCCACGGGTTATTGACGGCGCCTGGCGCGAGTTGCCAGGGCGGAATTGGATCTGGCGGGGATGGTACGCGCGGTGGTACCGGCGGCTTTGGCGGTCGCGATACCGATCGTAAGTTTCGATTCTCCCCCGGAGGGGGGTATCCCGCGGGATCCGGATACGGCGGCTGTCGTGGCGGGAGCGGGGGCACTGTGGACCCCTTTCCCTTGTCGGTGCGAGACGGCCCAGCGCCTGGGTCGTCCATGTCGTCGTCGTCTTCACCTGCTCCGCCGAAGAATCCTTCGGGGAAAAAGTCCGACGAGTCCATCGGGTGAGGCATCGGCTGAGGCCTCCTATACGGCTCACACGGTCGTTGTGGCGCCGTAGGGTTAACCAGGTTCCAGACGGTGGCCGCCCGGTGCCAGGTCTCTACCTCGAGGATGTTCCTCATTAGATATACGTCCCCCAATTGCTTTGCGTGGCGGTAATCTTCGCCCGCCTCGGAGAAGAGCCACTGTGGGTCTCTTTCCATGTCTTCCATCATAATTTCATACAGGCCGTGCCAGGGTAAAAGTTCGAAGATTCCTGGCCTAGGCATCGGGCCCTGAAGGAGGACCTGCCTTACCGCCGCCATTACCGTTGGCTCCAGGGCCTGGTTTGGGGGCCGGCTTGGCATCCTCTGCCTCCTTCCTCTCTCGGGCGATTCTGTCGATTTCCTTATTTCGCCTCCATCTCCCGATGTCGGAGTCCTCATTGGAGATCTCCTCCTGATAGACTCTCCAGGCTCGAGCTCGGGCCTCGAGGTCGGTTCCTGCCCTTCGGGCGTAGCCGGTGTAGCGAACGGCAGCGGCTCGTATTCTGTTGTCGATCTCGGCGGGAGTGGCGTCGGGCTCAACGGGTAAGTCCCAGAAGCCGTCGGGTCCATAGAGAGCGTCTTCTTCGGCACGTCGGATCCGTGCATCGTGCGCTCGGCCTCGCTCCATTCGGGCCTCGACTTCTGGGGACTCCCTGGCATTTCGAGGGAGTCCGAGGGACTCGACGTACGTGTGATAAAGGAGCGGCCACGGACGCTGGGTTGCAGGGACGGGGTCGGCGAAGGCCCGCGATGATACGGTTGGTTCCCAACCGGCGACTCCGGCGAGTCGCTCGGCGGCGGTAATTGTCCCAATGTCTTCGGTGTCGAGGTCTGGGAACTCGCTCCAAAGCTCCCTACTCGTCTGCTCGTGCGAGGCGACGGGGGAAGGGGCCTCTGGGGTTTCTGGGACCGTAGAGAGCGGGTCGGGCTCTCCTCCGGTCGCGACTCCGGCCACAGGAGTCTCTTGCCCGTCATCGGCGTAGACCCAACTGGTGCTGGGGTGCCAGGCGACTGGGGGGCCTCTATTGGTTGGCCAGGCCCTTGGAAGAGACTGTGAGTGAGCTGTACTGGTGGAAGCCGCGGAGGCTCCGAGGCCAAGCTCTCCTGAATCGGCGTCGTAGTCGTCCTTTTGCCTCTGTATAAACCTTCTGCGCTCTGCTCCGAGGTCGGAGTCTCCCCACTGGGCTTCAACCCACTTTGTGGACGACCTTCCGGACCAGTTGTCTCCGGTATAGGTTGCATCCTCCTCCGTATTCGGGTAGATGTCGTCGAGGAGGTCGTCGAGGCGGGTTCTTTCCCACTCGGTGAGCTCGTCCCCTTCCCACTCGGTGTCAGGGCTTTCTTCGCCCGCGACCAGATGCCTGGTGTCTTGTCCTCGGCTTCTGTCGGGGCTTGACTCGCCTTCGACTGAAGGCTGGTCGAAGAGACCTGGTAAGGGCGAGTCTCCTCTGTCGAGGAATATGCTCCGGGTATCGGTGATGTCGACGGAGTCGGTTGACTCGTCGGTGGCGCTTCTGTAGGAGTCGGTGCTCGACTCTGAGGATCGCGAGCTGGGTCGCGACGATCCGTAGAGGGACTCTCCATAGAGAGAGTGTAGCTCTAGCCGAGGGGTTTCTGGAACGGGTAGAGTTTGTTGTGAAGCCGCGGGGATGTCTATCACCTGCGGGGGATATGCGGGTTGGCTGGGCACGTAATGGAAGGGAAGCTGAGGTTGAACCCTTCTCTGTTGTCGGCAGCAGCGGAGTGTGTAATACAAAGAAATGGACAAGAAAAAGGCGATAAAAGTTACGAAGATTGCGGGAATGGCGTCGGACCAGGGCATCCGTATAGGGATCTATCCGTGGCGTAGGTCGACGATTGACCATGCAAGTTGGTATATCGCGAGGATAGTGAGAACAATGAGGAGGGCGATAATCAAGCTAAGGTCGGTCTCGTAGTTGGAACCGTTCATTAACGAGATTTCGCAGGTTTCGTCGGGAGGAGTGCTCGTTACTATTAACAGCAGAACTGTTAAAATAGAGGCGAGCTGAAGAGCAAGGATGAAGGGTTTCGTGTTGGGATACGTGGTTCCTAAAAGAGACGGGGGTATATCGCGTACAGGGCAGCTAACAATCCTGCTAGTACCGCTGCGGATATTCCGAGTCCGATAAGAACGAAGGTAAGGAATATGGTGAAGACTACTCCGAGGAGTAGGTCGTCGTTTCGGATGGTTGCGACAATCAAACGAGTTACTAACAACAGAAGGAGTAGCCGAGGGGGTATTAGCCACAGGGCTAACGCGACGAGGTAGTGTATCGGATGAATGTTGGGCGGTGAGTGCTTTTCCGTTGGTCCACTCGCTGTACGTTGACAAGCACCGGGTTGTCCACACGAACGTAGGCGATGACCTCTCTGGTCAAGCAGGGTAATTTCTCGTAAAAGAGTTGGGCAGCGCTCTTTCTCAGAAGTGACGCTGAGCAACGTAAGGCGAGCTTCGGCTAAATGTTAGCCACTAACTCAAATCGACTTAGATCGTACTAAGGTCGCTACTCGCACTTCGGTAGACGACGCTCAGCAAGTCAAAGGCGACGTAAGTCGATGGGACAGATAGTCACGAAGAACGGAGTTCGATATTAGGTAGAATAAACCTTAGCCGAAGCTGGGGTTTAGACCAGCTGAGGCTCTACTTAAATACACGTTGCGTAGGCTAAAGATAGTGCCGCAGCAATCGTCCGATCGAAATCGCAGCATAGAGTAAGCGTGAATACGTAAGAAAAGAAAAAGAAAAGAAAAAGAAAAGAATAACCGTAACATGGAGTGAGGAACAGACATTCTTTTCTTGTGGTGCATGGACATGGGTGGTGTATCAGGAAATATCTCCGTCAGTCACAAAGTGATGGTTCAATTCCTCGTGTCCATCTAAGTGGTTTAGAAAATTTTTGAACTTTTTGTATTCGTTTTGAAGGATAGCTGGATGGGAGTTTGAGACTTAAATGTGTACGACAGGGTTTGTTCTGGGATTAGCATGTTTGGTTGGTACTTGCTACATGGATATGGCTAAGAGGCTGTTTAGTTAGTCATGGGGTTTGTAGGTCAGTAACAAATACAGAACGAGGGAGAGACACAGAGAATGATTCTCCTGTGAGATTCTGCACATTGATTGTCATCAATCAACAAAGTCACGAAGCTGTTGGGAGTGCAGGCATGGTCCGGTTCCTCCCAGATCACATATATGATATCCTGTAGTTTCCCGCTTGGACATAGCTACGAGTGTACTATCACTAGCTATTCCCATGCTCCCTCTGGTACCCAGCGATCACTTTCTACTGTTGTTGAATTTTGTGCCAGGCCTGGTGCGACTTCAGCTAGTACCTGTGACTATAAGGAGGCAAGACGTATGCAAGACCATGGTGATGTTCCGGATTTTTGGGCTGATCTCTGGCCACAGATATGATGGAATATCGACATCTCATCCAGTGCAGTTATCCATTTCATTTGTTTGAATGACAATTGATGTTGCGTTGATATTTGGGAAATGGTTGAGAAGAACAGCAACCAAATCCTGCATAAGACCTAATGTCAGGACATATACAATCATCTACAGCTTTGTGGGTGCGCACCTGATACTGAGTAACATCCGACCTCTGAACAAAAACTGTGGCTTTGCTATCTGTAGCAGTGATGTAGTCATTTGACTGAGTAGCGTCCTTTGATTCAGCAGCGCCCATTATCGTCAGGTGAGAGGAAGGAGGGATGGAAACAAACAAGAGACATAATAGAAAAGTACGTGAGTCACATCATTCAGCGCCTATCATCTAACCTTGTGACCTGACATGGTTCAGATAGGCGCCTGGGGGCGCAATCACTGTCAAATTGGAAGCTCTTTTTCATAATTCCTTCTCTTACCTCCTTGATATATACCATGTACAATCCTGTCATCGGACAGGACATTCACAGAGAGTAAGCGTGGCAGCTGAGATCAAAGAGATATGTTGATGGGAGTGTAAGTGATCGGTAATAAGGTGGATGATATGTGGTATATGCAGAATGTGTCAGCGCACTTGGCAGCAGGAAAGAAGCCAGCAGTAGTGATCAAAGTTGTCGACTGTCACACATAATGTTCTCCCTATGACTCAAGCCTCGACAAAGGCCTTCTCAACTCGGTCTGCTGTCCTTGAGTTGTCATTGTGCCTGTGCTCTCACTCCTACCGAGATCAGTAATGGTTTTTGCTTGAGTCCGAGATATCATGACTTCCTGCATATGCACTAGCGATGGCCTGGTCTCGCTGGGACCTTCCCATTGTCTGCAATACCTTTGCACCGTCACACATATCTTGTATCTAGAATGCCTATGATGTTCTCATGAACAGCAATAATAACCCATGGACTGGACGCGAGCTCTCACTTAACACTGATTGTTTTGGCTAGCATGGTGCTAGAAATTCTCACTGTAAGAGGTGAGAGAGAATGCTACAATAATATACATAAAGTCTAGGTCTTTTTTGTTGCCTTTCTGTATGCCATCACATTCATGCTGTATGGAATTGTATGGACTGGTAGTAGATGAAGCCTTGGCGAATACCTCCAGCATGCATGTCCCTATCCACTTTGTGTTCCCTCATTAGGCTAGAGTGATATTGTCGCCTACTCAGGAAGCAGTAAACAGTATTCAACTATGACGATATCGCTGGAAATACATTGAAGATTTATCGTACTATTTTCCCAATACACAATATTCATGAGAATATGATAGAACTTCAGCCCATGAGGAATAGTAATGAGAAGTCACTGATGCTTGTCCATAACTCTTATACGACTTATCTTTGCACCTATCTCCTTCCACAATTCGCCTGGGATATCGACAAATATTCCATGGTAAATTTCCAAATTGTTCATTTGAATGGCATAATGGTTTTTAAATTCAAGGTTAATCTCCGGAAAGTGGTGATTCAATGTAACAAGTAAAGCCTGGGTTGTTTTTTTCAGAGTGCATACATTCGTGACATGAATATTGAGATACTGACATCATATTCAGCAATGTCTGGCCAGCGAAGAAAAACACACTTTGCACCTTTGAAAGCAACAATGAATCTTGGTTCGGGGGTATCAGTGGTAGTGGATGTGGGTGTCTCTATGGTGTTGGTTTCGGTGGACATCGTGGATGGGGGAAAGAAGGCACTTTGTGAGAGTGTATTGTAAGGACCAATTCAAAGCCCAATGGATATCTTTATCCCAGCCTCATGACTGATAGAAATACTGAAGCCAACTTTGGTAAGCAGCCTAGAATGATAGATTGGCCTGGAGTTACGCATGTGAGCCTTGGGAGCTTTGCAGGCAATAGAGAGACTTAATCTGTAGTGCATGGCACGTAGAATTTTGCGAGCTACCCTTGCGAGCTTGCGTTGACTTGCGGGCTTGCTTCTGCATTTGTGTTTGCATTTATATGCATGCATTTCAATAAATTATAGTTACGTTCCTAAAAATGTGCTTGTGTTTGTGAGTGTGACATGATCAAGTTTCCTACACGTTTTGGATGCTTAGAACAAAGGAGCACTATGTCGGACCCTGAATCGATTGGGGTCTTTGCGTCGCAATATGCAAGGTCCTATCATTTGACTATCATCTCAATTGTTTTCACCAAGAAAGGAGGGATTCATACGAATGGCAGGATAAGTGGGTGTAATTCAAGGGGAAAACGAACAAATATTTCCAGGCTCAGCCATGTTTGAATATTTTCTGGGAATGACCACTATTCTGCATTCGCTCGGTCTATCAATTCAGCATTTTTTTGCGTCCATGATCTAGTTCATCGGATGGGCTTCAAGATTTCAAAATGTCATGAAAACTATCCTCTGATAAGTCAGTGGGCATTTCAGCCTAATCAACATGTATTAAACTGTTAACAACCAACTAATAATCGACTTAGATCGTACTAGGGTCTCCACTCGCACTTCGGTGGAAGACACTCTAGCAAGTCAAAGGCGATGTCAAAGTCAACTGTGGGCACGTAGACGCGAAGAATGGAGTTCGAGTTGGGTAGATTAAACCTTAGCCGAAGCTGGGGTTTAGACCAGCTGAGGCTCTACTTAAATACATGTTTGGTAACCTAATAATAGTACTGTGAGAATGCGTCCATTGTGATCGCATGAAAGTAATCAGGCTGAGTAACACGAGGAAAAGAAAAGAAAAGAAAAAGAAGAAATGAATAAAATGAATAGACTGAATAAACCGTAACATTACCCCCTCCCTAAGACTCGTTCGTCCTGAATGAGTCATTAGACTCCCCCGTGTCGTCGTCCGAAGAGGAATGTCTCGATTCCGAATAGAGTGATGGAGCATCGTTCTCATCATTGTTGTCATCATCTTCATTCTTGTCCCAATCCTCGGTCACTCGTTGTAGATGGTTGACATCTGAGTAATCGGTATCGGGGTGACTTTGTAGTTGGTCGTCGAATGAAGACGTGTCATCGATGGCATTTAGCTCTTCAGAGTGTGCTGGTGCCGTGCATTGGGAAGAGGGAACGGTGATGATCTCGGTTATGCATGGGGTGTCCGGCTCGTGATAGTGGATCGGGTTGTTGAGAGATATTTTGTCGTCGCGTCCAATTGTCTGTCCTTTGTTGTTAACTGTCCACCACATCTTTCGAATGCGGGTCTCGTAGTCATTCACGAGTTCCTCGGCATGGGCCATATCTGAGCGTTTCACCCACGAGTTCTCTTCTATTGGGTATCCTTTCCATTTGACCAGATATTCGGTAACGGTCCGGCGAGTTCGTCCTCGACCAATGATCTTATCTCTTTCTCCGACGATCTCCTCAATTTCATATTCCTCTTCATCATCGATTAAGTCTGGAGGTGGTCGTCCAGGATGCGGTTGGTTTGTAAACTTGGGGGCGTGATACGGGGTCAGTAGGGACTCGTTGAATCGATTGTGGATCCGCCATTTTGTGGGGAGCTTCAGTTCGTAGGCTGATGCTCCCTTTTTGGCTACGATAGCGAAGGGTCCGACTCACCTATCTCCTAATTTCTTTGTCGGGCGAGGTAGGTTTAGGTTGGTGGAGTCCAACCACACTTTGTCGCCGATCTGGTATTCCACCGCCTCTCCTTTGTGTTTGTCATGGGTCTTCTTCATCGATTCTGCTGCTCGGTCAAGAGACTCCTTCACCTTCCTTTGCACCTCTTGCATTCCCTGTACTAGCTTGGACACGGCAGGGACAGCATCAGGACGTTGGGTGGTTTTAATGACTTGTCCGTCGCGGCCAAAGACTACCTTGTACGGGGAAAAACCCGTGGCGGAGTGCTTTCAGTTGTTATGGGTGAATGCGGCGAGTGGGAGCCATTCGCTCCAATCATCCTGGCGGTAATTGACGAACATTTTGAGGTACTTTTCAATTTCTTGGTTCACTCGTTCGGTTTGTCCGTCCGTTTGAGGGTGATACGCCGTGGAGGGGTTTCCCGTTACCTGAATGAGAGCGTAGAATTCTTTCATAAACTTGGATACGAAAACAGCTCCCCTATCCGAGATGATCTTTTCTGGCATCACCCCATATGGCACGTAGACGTGATCTCACAGGATCTTGGCGAATCCTAGAGAGGTGAGTTCCTCCGTGCACGCTATAGGGATGATCGTTTTGGAGAATCGGTCCACGATCACCAGGATAGAATCGAACCCCCTCGAGTTAGGGAGTTTGGTGATCATGTCGATGGATATGTGAGTCCACGGATGATCCGGCACCTCATTGGGATGGAGAGGCGCCTTCTTAGGTCGACGATCCACCTTAGTTCATTGACAGACCTCGCATCCCCTCACATATGCCTCCACCTCCCGATGCATCCGAGGCCACCAATAATCTCGTAGGATGAGCTCCCTCGTCTTTTCTATCCCTGGGTGTCCCGTGGTGACATGGTCGTGCCTCAGGGCGATGACCTCCCCCCGTAATTGCTTGTCAATGGGGACGTAAATGCGCCCATCGTACCATAGCATCCCTTGGTCTCGAATGTTACGATTTATTCATTTCTTTTCTTTTTCTTCATCTGACTCAGCCTGATTACTCGCAAGCGATCATCACGGACTGATTCCCACAGTACTATTCTTAGCGTACCAACGTGTATTTAAGTAGAGCCTCAGCTGGTCTAAACCCCAGCTTCAGCTAAGGTTTAATCTACCTAACATCGAACTCCGTTCTTCGTGACTATCTGTCCCATCGACTTTCATCGCCTTTGACTTACTAGAGTATCGTCTACCGAAGTGCGAGTAGCGATCCTAGTACGATCTAAGTCGATAGAGTTAGTGGCTAACATTTAGCCGAAGCTCGTCCTACGTTGCCCAGCGCCGTGCTGCCCAACTTGTACAGTTTCAACAATTCAGCCGATACATTTCCTCGTCGCGGTAGTCCTTTGGGTAGTACCCTTCGACCTACTGCTCTGGGTTATAGTACTCGCCTGGATCATCGAATCCCTTCTATTTGACCCAATCCTTACCGCCATCCTTATAGTCCTTGTGACTATTCTCTTGGTTCTAGCAACTATCCCGGCACCACTACTGGCAGCCCTGCTGGTAGCGGCCTATGTCGGTTTCTTGCACCATTTCTAAAAACACGAACCCCTTTATTCTTGCCCTCCAGCTTGCCTCCATGTTAACAATCCTCTTGTTAATACTGACGAGCACCGCTGAAGATTGCGAAATCCTGTTAATGAACGGTTCCAACTACAAAACCGACCTTCACCT